CACACACACACACACACACACACACACACACACACACAATGGCTCAGACAAAAAAAATCTACATTTTCAAGTTTGAACAACTACTGGGAAGCTACACAATTGTAAAACATCCAAGTAAATAAAATTTAAAAACAGGAAAAAAATACGCCCTTTGGCTAATTAACAACAATTAAAAAGGAGAAACATAAATAACTTATAAGTTAGAATAAACTTAAAATATATATTTACAGGGAAAAAAATTAAAATATATATTTACAGGGAAAAAAATTAACACCAGCAAACATTTATATGCTATTGTCTCCATTATAAAGCTGTACACTTTTGGCCAGTGTAGACGATTCTTTTTAAATAAAAGAAAATGAGGATTGCACAGATGTTAAAAACAATTTAACACTGCTGAGTGGCTGGATGCAAAACAAACAAGCAAACAAACAAACAAAAAGACAAAATGGATGCTACATTTGTACTGGATACAAGTCATCTCCCTTTACCCCCCCAAACCGTTCAGTCCTGAGTCTTGGTCCGGTTCTGCTGAGGCCGAGCTTCTGTAGCCGGACCTGTGAGGACCTGTTCTCCTCTTGTCCTCCGTCTGAACGGGATTTTTTTTTTTTTTTTTCAGAAGAAACAGATCCTCATAATGCGCAGGAAAGTAGTGCAAAAAGACAAAATAGCGCAGCACCTGAGGAAGAAAAAAAAACAGGGAATAAGTTTTCTGCGAAGAAATAGTGAAATTCTTCAGAAAACACGAGGAGTCCGCTTTCAGATGGAAACATGAGACTCGACAGCAGCAGTGGGCGTGGCCGACTTTACCCCCGTCTTTTCCCGCCACACGGTGACGCACTTCCTCCTCCACCAACCAGCAGCGTCACAACGCCACCAGCCACAACCCCCACCCCAAACAACGCTCTCTGTCTCATTTAACCAAAGGTGGATGTGTGACGACAGAAGCCATCTGAAGCTTTCTTTAAAAAAAATATTTAATTAAAACATTAATATTTAATTAAAACATTGTTGCGACTTTACCTTCAGCGGATCCTCTTTCGCGGAGTTTGTTCCGCCGGGACGGGGGACGTGGAAAGGTGGCAAGAAACGCTCGTATCATCCCCAGCCCGTTTTCGTTTCACGAAAAAGTCTGTAAAGATTAAAAGCAGATATATAAATATAATAATTACAGCTGTGAAACGATGGGCTGCTTTGTTGAAGTGTTACTCTGTTGGTTTACCTGTTACACACGTGTTGTTGACGCGGTCAGGAGCTGAAGTTGTTTTCCGTCGGACGCACGGAGCCGGACTCTGAGTCCCGGACTTCACTTTGTCCACCCGCTTCTCCTGGTTCACTCCCGCCGGACTGGGAGCGCTGGTGCTGCTCTCCGGTACCGTTAACCGCTCCAGAACATTTACAGCCGGGCTCTCCGGGACAGCCGAGTCCGAGGAGGGGCTCCGGTTCACGGTGTCGTGATAAAACGCCGGGATCTTATCCGCCGGCACCGCCTCCCACTCGTAGTCCCCGGTCATGGGTGTGCTGGTCCCGAAGTTAAAGTTCCACCTCTGCTGGTCCCGCTCCATAAGCTCCCGCAGCTTGGCTTTCGTGTCCCGGCTCAGCTCCTCGTGATCCACGGGTCCGAAAAGGTTGCGGCAGGCGCTCGTGCGCCTGTGGAGGGGGAAGGTCCTGCGGGCCACCAGCCTCTCCCGCGCGCTGCTCGATAACTGGACGTGGGACATCTTCGGACCACAGCACGGAGAGCGGGTCGAACCACGGCAGGAGACAAACTGGTCTCCGACTCCAGCGGGTGCTTCTTGGTGGTTTTTGTGTCGAAGCGAGTGCGTACCTGCGCTCGTGACCGTCTCCCAGTCCCTCACACGGATCTTTAAAAGTGCGTCTCGTGCGCAGCTTTATTTATAACCTCACAACGTGCAGCGAGTCGGAGCAGACACCTTGGCGACCTCCTGATTGGCTGCTTTAAGCCCCACCCTCTCCAGGCGCAAACACGCACGTACACAAACCCACATTTCTCCACGGACCCCCTGCACCTTGTTGGCTGTGAGCTGGTTTCTGGTGGACCTTTAATTCCTCCTGTCATCCCATATTCACCCACACGTGAAGGAAACTTTATCCAAGTAGTTTAGTACAAAGTTCCTCTCCAAACTCAGCTTCTCCTCAGCGCTTTGCTTTTCTACAACGGAGCTGCAGGGATTTGAGCTGCTTTGCTTTTACGCACAGAAGCGTTTAAATAATAATAATAATAATAATAATAATAATAATAATAATAATAATAATAAAAGAGTGAAGACGAATTTCAACTAACACATATGCACGCAACCGCTGGTCACATGACTGAAGAAGTGTCTTGGAGGAGAGAATAAACGTTTCATTAAAGAACAACCTGTCCAGAGGACCTACTTATTTATTTTTTATTTTTGAATACCATCAATTCTGTCAAACTGTTAGGGTCTGTTTGTCTGTCTGACCACCTTGACTCCAGCTGACCCCAACAGGAAGGCAGACGTTGATCCAGGGGCGTCACTAGGTTTTAAGGACAAGGGGGCCTTAGCCCCCAGGAGACGGACAGAATTTGTGTGTGTGTGTGCGTGCGTGCGTGTGTGTGTGTGTGTGTGTGTGTGTAAATATACAGTGCAAAGTATCATTTCAGTAACATTTATTTAGAGAACAATGGGCCTCATGCAAAAACCGTTCGTACGCACAGATTTGTTCTTAAGTTGTGCGTAGGAGTG